TTAGTATTATTTAAATTTTAAGGATATTTGGTTCTCTAAATTTTTTTGTTGTTGAGCTTTTAGCCTTTTAAAATTGCACCTTCCCTGAAAAATTCATGGATCTGTCACTGGCCTAGAGTGATCCTTGGCCCCCCAAATTTTTATCTCTCCTCTCTTATATTACATACTTGAATAGTTACCGAACAAAGTTTATGTTTTAAGTTTTATAATGAAAACTGAAAATTGGAAATTGCAAACTAAAAACTGAAAATTATATTACTAGCTAGCTATGACCAATATCACAGATTCAATGACTTAACGACTCATTTAGGTATTCTAGCTGTAGGCCTCACTTCAATAACTTTTCAATATTATTAAATCAATAAATTAAGTAATTAGTTGGTCAAATACAAAAATATGATAAAATTATGATATGGCTTTTTCTCCTTGTGGATGAAATATATAGAAGGTTGCAACTAAGGTTTTACAAGTAACACTACTACAAAAAGTGAAAAAGACGACCAGAAAACAACGATGGTGAAACCAAAAATTGTCATTGTGTTTAGAAAGACGACGATAACAGAAAACCGTCGTGGATAAGTAACTTAAACACTTAAAAAATGGAGATTCTCTTGGATATTTTTTTAAAATGACGCACCCAATTAAAAAAATGTCATCTTATTAAAAGGTGTTCTTCAGAGTTATACTCTGAGCCCAAATACAAACGACAGCAGTTATGAAGCCACCAACGTAAAAAGTAGAGACGACGCTTAGGGTTATGTTATGAAAGTATAAGGACTATTGTGCTTTGTCTATAAACAATTTTGACTTTTGTTATCACTTGTAATTTTGAAAACTAAAATTACATTTTTCAAAGCTCTAGGGGGAAGACAATCTCTCAATTAATGAGTGCATAGTATTTGTCGGTTTATTTTTCGGATTTTTTTTGTAATTTATTATGAACATTAGGAATTAAATACAATAAACAAATCTTAATAATATTATATTTTTAAAAGCTTTAGGGGGGAAGACAATCATTCAATGAGTGTATGGTAGTTGTTGGTTAATTTTTCAATTTTTTATTATAAATTTATTATGAATATTGTAAAAACTATAATATAAAAGTCAAATTAATATGAAATGACACGTGACATGTATATAACCGACATTGCATAAATTTACCACGACGTGGAACAAACATGAATGCCGTCCTAGTTGCTTTAGACGTCGACAATTTAAGCACCGACGTTGTTTAGATTTACAACTGCGCTTTTTATTAGTCCACCGTCGTCCATAACGCTTAATTATAATGTAAAAGTCAAATTAATATGAAATGACACGTGTAAAAAACCATTGTTGCATGCATTTACCACGATGTGGAACAAACATGAACTTCGTCCTAGTTGCTGTTGTTGCATGCATTTACCATGATGTGGAACAAACATGAACTTCGTCCTAGTTGCTTTAGACGTCAACAATTTAAGCACCGATGTTGTTCAGATTTACAACTGCACTTTTTATTAGCCCACAGTCGTCTATAACGCTTAAAACGTCCATGGGTGTTGAAAAACCGACGTGGATTATTTTTCCAACGTCACCTGCCATGTAACTACCGACGTTGTTTATGACCGACAACGTCATTTTTTGTAATTCACCGCCGTTGTAGTGAATGAAGACGTCATTTTCATGGTCTTTACTGTCTTCATTTTTACGTACAAAATATTTTAGAATTTTTTAATTGGATTTTAGTTTTTAGGTGCAAAAGTTTTTAAAATTTTCGTGCTTTCCTTCACAATATATGACAGATAACATTTTTTATATATAAACCGTCATTTTTTATTATTTACATGTCATTTTTAGAATTTTCCGTCGTGTTTTTTTATTTATATGTCATAAGACGTCGGTTATTATGCTATTGAGACGTGTTAACAAGAATGAGACGTCGGTTTTTGGGATTACAATCGTGTTCACAAAGATTTATAGAATTACAAAAATGATTATGTACATTGTAAAAAGAAAAAAAATTATTTCACTCATTGTTCTGGGTTTGCTTGGTGACGAATTCTGCCCATTAATTCCAGCCTGACTTCGTCAATATTTTTGTGAACATACTTAACTGGATCTTTTTTCTTTTCAAACTACAAAAATAAACCACAAAAACCGACGTGTTAAACAATTAAAAACGTCGGTTAATAATAACTAAAACCTTCGTTTTATAAATATGCAAACGACGGTTTTTCCAAAAATAGACGTAGTATGTAAAAATAAAAAGAAATTAAATTTTAAATTTTTATTTTTATTTTCTTCTCAAATGCTAAGGCTGGATCATGGATTATATCTCTCATGAAACGCATCACATAGTACCCACACTCTACATTTGTTGGTTGTCGAGGAGTGCCGTTTAGAGTTTTCCATATGGCTGATTTACATGATGATTGTTTGCCTACGTGAGAGTTATATATTTTGATTGCGTTGTTTCAAGAAAACAAAAAGTGTTAATGACAAATATTTTAGCCTACTAACACACATTAGAATGTAGTAAATCAACTTACGTATTCAATATATTTTTCATGTCCTCGTCAACCGGGCGGTTTGGCAATGGATCCATAGAATATACCGTCTCCTTATCTGGTCTCACAATCGCCAACACCCAATGACCCCTACACAAAATGATCATATATAGGTTAAATAGTTAGGTGCAAAGAAAAATTACAACAAAAAAAATCTTGTTAAGGGGTCTAACCCTGGATTATAAGGCACCAAGAAAAATTGGTCCCCATCTGCCTTTTTCAGGCGATCTGCTAGATGTTTTGATCTGGAAGATAACGTTCTAGATTGAGCGCTAACTTGTCCAAGGTTAACGAGGCCAACAAGGTTTACCATATTTGCCATTTTTAAATAGTCAAATAGATACCTAAATATATGAAATTCAAATGAGTTTTTTATTTTAAAGAAAAATTAACCTAAAATAAAGATTGGATTTTTAGAATTACCTCATGTATACTGCAATCACTGTGGATCCGATCTCAACCATGGATGCAAACTGTAAAATATCATCATGCAAGATGTAAGTATCATGCTCATACCCAAACACTTCCTCTGGAATTTTAACCCTCACTGTCTCATTCAAAGGCTTCAACTTGGTCTCAGCAAGTTGGCATAGGGCTAACAAAGGAGGTGGCAAGTCTAGCTTTGAGAAATCCTGCTTCAAGAAATAAAGAAAGAAATATAAGCTAGAGATTCACTATAGAAGTGGAAGAGAAAGCAGTTACAAGCACTCAAGTGTTTTCTTCACACTTACTCATAATTAGGCTCATAGCCGCACTTATGCCACACCCGCTAGGCTCACTTTAGCCACAAATAATGACTCCCTAAAGGCCTTATTTGTAGTGCATAAATCCTAGGGTTACATTTGTTAGAAATGTGGCCTACAAGCCAATACATTTGATGTAATCTCCTTAGAATACATTTCAATAAATGGCAAACTTATTTTGTTATCTTTTACATCAGTTAAAGAAACAAAGTTTGGGGAATACTAAATAGGAGATAAAGTAATCTAAAGAAGATTAGATTCAAGAGACCTTTGATCTGTAACTATAGTATCCCAAAATGTTCCTGATCATAAGGTTATCAAATGGGCATTGATAAACTGTCAAGACTAGCACATATTATGCATGCTTAATAAGGAGGATGGTTAGTCTCAAATCATTTGTGTAGTTGACACTAATACAAGTATGTGGGTAATAAGGAGAATAAGGAGAAGGAGAAGGACAGCACTCTGAAGTTCCTTGCAGTTTAAAGCTATGTTATATAAAAGTCTCATGAGAAGAAAAACTATCTATGTATAAAATATGACGTTTGTTGTACTTAGCTTCCTTTTAAGTCTTCAATCTCATGAAAGAAGTGGTCCAGCTATGCACTTAGATATTCCAAGAGCATATTGTATTATTGCTCAAACCGACGGCAATTGGATAGTCAACCCTTTTATCTATGGGCCTTAAATTGGTATATGCCAAGAGCATATTGGACAAGTCCATCGTTGGATATGTGATGCAAAACAAAACCATGTTTGTGAATTATTGCGGATTTCCCTTGAATATGATCAACTGCAATTGACTGGTTGTATATTTTATAAGGCTCTAAAATGGATACATAACATGTGAAAATTATTCTACTGCAAAAGAGAAATTAATTAAAGGACTAAATTTCAATACATATATGATCATAGAACCAACATTGGTAACCTTCTAAGCACGCTGTGCTTTTTATTGCGCTAGCTTTTTATTTTATTATTCCGTCGACTACACAACATGAGGTAGTCGTCTTTTGATACAAGCGATATTAAAGGAGGTAGTCCTATTGGCCTTTATTTTTTATTTTCAGGCTGCACTACTTAGTCATTCTAAATATGCTTTTAGTTGCATAGATAGAAGGAAACTAAGAAGAGCAATTAATGAACCTAATTAAAATTGGAGAGCTAGCAGGAGAGATTAGTGCCAGGATCAACGCCAAGTTGGGTGCAATAATCAGTGTAATAGTTGATGCGGGCTTGAACTAGGGCAGGCTGTTTGCCATCACATTCTACAGCGCCATTAATAGCTCGAATTGTGGCTCCAAATCCTTGACTTATAACTGGACGAACATTGGTTATCCAAAACCACAGGGCAGTCTTGAATGCAAGAACGGGGTCTGAGGCTACGCTTTCTGGCGAGTTTAAGCCGTCGAATCCAATGCTGTTTCCCGCAGCTCCATAGTTGTAGTTATATGTTAGTTGGAGCGGTCCACGACCGTAGTACTGTTTGTTGGGGTTGCATGGATAGTTTGTATAGCTTGGATCGCAGTAGGTGGCTTTGTTTATCTCTTCTATGTAGCAGAAATCTGATTTAAACAAGACAAAAAAGAATTTGCTTGTTAGTGTATTAATTAATTAACTGTCTTCTTCTTCTTATATATTTTTTTTATGCCGAAACAAAAATTACAAAGCGAAACCTCTAAAGATAAGAAAGCTCAAAGAGGTCAAAAGATATGCGTCTTCATTTACAAAGCTACAAAAAATAAAAAAAACAATAATATTGTGCTTATCATTAAATTTATTTGGTAATTACTGATCTAATTAATCACTAAAGATTGTATCCTAAACAAAGGGTGACAATATGCATGATACCAAATCCAAAGCACCATATAGCATGTAGGTTATCATTATATACAAATTAGAGTATAATAATGATGGCATTCAAAAGAACTTACCTCGTACTGAGTACTGAGTATGTATATAAATCTACTGAGTAATGGTGATATTCACAAGAACAAAAATTAAGCTGATAAATTGTCCCAATTGATAAGCATCATATGCTAGTAATATATGTATGGAGAACTTACGCCCAGTCTCATGAGTGACATGAGCAAAGAAAGCTGCGATTTCACGTTTAGAGTCGTCAGCCGTACCGAACTGACCGAAATCAGAATATGAGCTGACAGCATCCAGAAAAGCTTGTCGTGTGTAGAAGTTCTTCCCAGCACAATCTGCAGCAGCCTGGTTAATGATCCCATCAAAGAATGCCTGGGTCACAACATCTGCCACCGGAGCTTGAGCTCTTACATTTCTGGGCAGGGCTCCTCCGGCTACAAATAAAAGGGCAATGAGGCTTAGTAGTCTATGGATAGCCATTTTTCTGTAGGGATATGTATGGGTAAAGGATGAGAAGTGAAGGTTCAGATGAGTTGGGTATTTATAGTGAAATTTCTAGCTTTTCTAGAAGTTCATGCACATCGCTTGAGGACACGTATGGTTTGAAAGTTTCATGGACCTTGACTTGTACACAGTAAGACGTAAATTGGTTTCTTTTCTGATTCTGAATAGATCTGTTGATGTGTATCTCTTCCAATAGTAAACTATTGTTATCGAGTTATGTATATTTAATACCCTAGCTAGCTAGCCAATTTAGTCTACTTCTAGAACTAGAGAAATTCTGGCCGACAAAGTTAATTAGGTATTTTAAATTTGAAATTTTATATACTGAATACTCCAAATCATATATACTACTAAAGTTTATTTTCTTATACTGTCTAAGTTGACGAGATCTTATTATATTGTCAAACTATCCAGTTATCATATTGATTTTTTGTTTAATTGTTTCCTCC